ACTATAGCATAGTATACAGAAACATAAGAAATTCTTTTTATTCCTACAACCGGAGTGGAAATGCAATCCTAAATTATGCATTAGAGAAGCACGAGGCATTCTGCTGAACTCCGGTACACGTACAAGGATTCAGTTTATGTACCTGAAACAAGATGTTCTGACGTTCGTGTTTGCTTTCTGACATTGCATCTTCGTGGGAAAATCATACTTCAGCCGTCATTATACCAGGAAGACAACGAATATTGTGGAAAGTCAGAATAAATATCAATATTTAGGTTGCATTAACTTCCTGGCCGGTCATTTAAGACGGGAAAAAGAAAGGGAATTTTTACCACGGAGAGATGGGTTTTTCCCGGGGATTTTGTTTGCTATCGATTGATGCTCCGGCCCCGCGAGGCGAGTGCCACCGTGCGGTTCTATGGTGTAATGGTTAGCACTCTGGACTTTGAATCCAGCGATCCGAGTTCAAATCTCGGTAGAACCTGGAGCCCTCCACTCGCTTTTTCCGATTCTTTGGCGAATCGGAACCTGGGTCTGTACGTTGCCTATAGAAAAGCTAAATAAGGGCAGTTTTGCACAGACAGCACATGTAATGGTATCTCACAGCGAAGGTCAAACCGCAATGTCAAAGGGCAGCACAGCAGTGCACACAGTCCAAAATGGGGTAAAACCCAAGGAGCTGAATGCCAGAGAGTTTTCACCTCGACCTCAGCTTTATCACAGTACTCCTGATTTTCTTAACAGCTGTACATTTGACAAGAAGATCAAATAACACTTTAATTTTTAAATAGTTCTACTACAAATTAATTAGGCCTTGCATTATTTTTTACTGTTGATGTATTTTAAGTCTTTTTGGAGGGGGAAAAAAATTTACACTGAGGAAAATCTCAGGAAAATTTTCAGTAGATAAACATGCAGAATTTGGGCATTATTTTTCAGGTGGACCCAACTGTTCACTTGGAAGATAGGGACAGAAATGCAACTATTTGAGAGTGGGTATAATTTCACAGGTTGAACTCTGCACAATTTAAATGGATATTACCTCTGCTTTGCAGACACAAATCCTCATTATATATTTTTCATTTCAAGAGTAGCTAAGGACATCTTAACATTTTTGTTTCCCTCCTCAAAATCTGTCCTAACCAGTCTGAAGATCAGCTCCTCCTCCTTTCCTCTAGCCAAGTAACCACTCCTTCCCATCCCTTGAAAAAAATGCAGACCACCTTCAGGTCTAGTTCTTTTGTGAGTTAGGGTCCTAAGTATTGAGAGGAATTTATGGAATTTAATGTATTAAAGAAATTTTTGCACAACCTATTGATGAAAAAATGTCTCCCTCTTCTATGTTGGGGCTAATTTTCACCCTTTCCACAACTGTGTGTGTCGTTACTGTTTTGTCATGCACCAGTGTTTTAAATAACCATATATAGTAAACTCCAGCATAACTAGTCAACCCCCATAGATTGGCTTCATCCAGCAACATCATTCTTCCCAGGTAAGAGAGCTTTAAAGCCAGTAGATGCTCATCTGCCTAGCAATGATTGAATATATTAGTTCATAATTATATTTCCTGCTGCTATCCAGCAACTTTCTCCTTCCATTTATCACAGACAAGCACCTATGTTAAAACAAAGTGTACTTAAAGAGCTAAGCTTTAATACGGAGTTAGACAGAGTCAGTTCATAATTCAGTATCAAGATTTATTTAGGACATTTCATGGTCATGCTCCATTTGAATACAAAGCACCAAAATTTAGGTAACTGAACATTATCCAAATATAATCCAGTTGAGACTGCTGCATACAGATACATCCATTTTACTAAGTGATAGCATAGCCCACCTCTGTCCATGAACTATTGTGGACAAACACAGGGTGCCACGGCTGAGGCAAACTTACTGGAGAAGGCACAGCAAGAGTACGTCACAATGCGTATCCCTTGTTGTAGCAGGCTCAGAATAAAGTACTGGAACTCGAGGTATCAAGCACCCCTAGACAATTTCCAAATTAATTTAGCATTTCCACTTACTTTTGCACAATCCCTCCAATTTAGTATTTAAAAAAAACAAAACAATCGAGACAAGATTGTCTCAGCAGAACATTCAACTGAGAAGTAAAGCACTAAGGCTGTGACCACACTAGGAACTCTTCCCATTGTTGAAAAGGCAGTAGCAATGAAAAGTATTAGTTGCCAAAATCGTATCAGGGAACTAAATAATGCTGTATTTTCAGGAAGCGCGGCTAGAAACACAACATCAACAATGACAGACTTCCCAACTGTAGATTTAAAAGCCAGAATCAAATCTTAGACAAGTATTTCACTATATATGAAGTTGCAACTTTTTCTGACACGTGTTAAAATTTCAGTGAAAGAAGGTAGAGGGGGAAAGACATTACAGTTAAGGGAAAAAACTTTTTTTCTTTTAAACTGGCACTTTAAAGAAGAGGGCTTTAAAAACTTAAGATCAGTTTTACTCCAAAAAGTCTTATAAAACAAAAGCTGACGAAAACAAGACAAATATCAGTCACTAGTTATAATACATACATTCCACCTAGCCACTAAACGCTGCCCAGTTACATTGCCTTCCTTGTCTCTGAAAAGACTACTGTGGCAGACAAATTATCCACTAGATTTTTACATTGCTACTATCTCAACAGAATAGTTGAGTTGATGGAAGAATGCTGGATTCAACTGAAGAAGTTTATTTTATGCACCGAGCCACCAATGTCCCTTGCAGCAGGAGCATAGCAGAGTGCACTGTAGACAGGTTTATTTCACCTACTGGCTCATCCCAGCAGCATGGGAAACCAGGCTCTTCAGTGCCACAGGCAAGCATCACGGCAAAGGAGAACGTGTACGGCAGGGCCACCTCCGCAGCAGGAGTATTTTTTCAAGTTGAATGAACAGTTCCGGGGTATCCTTTCAGAACAGCAAGGCAGCTCTTGTGTGGTTTAGCAAAGATTTCACCAGAAAAGCAAACAACTTTTTGGTACCATTTCATCCGGTATACACACATTAAAAAAGTAAGCATACTATACAAAAGAACTGAAGCAATATAATTTAAACATGCCATCAAGCTATAAACCATATATACATAGAAACATGTGCCTGTACAAACAGAACAAGTCTTTTTTTTTTTTTTTTCTTTAGGAAATAATGACAGGAAAAAAAACCAAACCAAAACACATAAAGGAGTTGGAAGTTGCTTCTAAAAGTAATCTGGTCTGAAATTTCGTGCAACACCATCTTTCTTTAGCAAATATTTATTAAAGTTTCAGCTATACATAGGTCTTTTCCCAGGACTTCTAGACTTCCTTCCTGTACAGAGGTAGATTTCTGTAGATGTTCTGATATTGCACCACGTAAGTGTAATGTTTTTATTACAACAAGGAACAACTTACAAAGGCTAGTTTATGGGCATAATCTCATTGCGTGCACAGTAATCAAATTCATTTGCACTTGAAAGAAAACATCTGTCAAATGAAATGTTTTGTTTGTCAGGTGAAAGTCCAACTGAAAGCTGCAATTCTATCAACAGCTTCACATTAAGAGAATTCTCTCTTGTCATTACGGTAACAAACTGAAGTCTCTTTCTCTCCTTCTGCACCTCTTTTTTAGCCACTGCAAGAACCTGCATTGACTTCACTGATGCCTTTATCCCATCCACTGTGTTCAAGTTAAATGCAGATGTCAAATACACACAGGTTTTTATAGTATTAGACCTTACTCATACAAGTGGTTGTAATATTAAGAAATTTACAAGAATATTCATTCAAACACTGCCTGGAATGATTAAAAAAGCCTGGAAAAGGAAAGTTGAAACTTTGCTAGCTTCAGCCATTAATTATGAACAAATTTGATGCTACCAGGAGAACCTGAAGAGGTTTGGCAGTAGTTGTTTCTTTCGTTCTTCACATTCTTGAACCACTCTCCAACAACTCAAAAGTTGCAGAAAAGCTTGCATGCAAATACCACTTTGTCTGTTAAATCAGACTTCTACAGCATACTTTAAAAAAATTAAAAAATGCACCAAAATTCCTGATGCCAATGAACAGTAGCTTTGATGAGCTCACACGGCATTGCTAAGTATTTTTTTCAGAGGCACTCCATGAAGTTACCTTTACAGAAGCCTGTCAACATGGAGAGAAATGAAAGAACAACCTGGTACTCTGTGTACCGAAATACAGAGAATGAAAGTGCTGCAAGTCTGTTTCAGCAACCTTAGCAAAGCTGCAGTACGCATGTGCTCACGTCACAGCACATACACGTTTCACTCTCATAAAGAGGCCAGACAAAGCAAGCAGCACCACTCCTTCTAGCTGCAAGTTTCTAAGAAAACAAAAGGAAAAAGTTTTCTTTTTGTACCAACCAAACCTATTTGGAACTCTTTTCAGTGAGGGATTGCATTATAACCATTTAGCATTAGTTTCTCAAGTTCAGTTTATATGAAGCATCCTGTTCTTTGTAAAATATTACATCAGTAAGGAATGGTGACTCTAGGTTAGAGCTGACTAATTTCTGTTAAAATCTGGATAAAAAGCATACATAAATTCATTACTCTTCTCCATATATACATTTGTCCCTATAAAGGTTTTTTTTTGTTAACAAGGCAAGTAAATCCCAAGTTACTTCGCAACAACTGCAACAATACTGAAATTAATGATTGTTTTCCCATGATGAAAGGGATTGTATACCTAGGAGTAAAATAATTTTGCCTTCTTGGAGAGCCCATTTTGTGAAGGGAGTAACTTCATCAGGAATGTCACTCCCTGCCCCTAGCAGAAAGGCCTTACGTACCTTGCAGGATCACATTTTTGAAAATGAAAAAAAAAAATCCATTATACACACATGCCAAAACACACAGTAAAGTTAAAATGACAACGACAGGAACCAGAGCTTTCAGAGACTTCTGTTTTTCAAAAGCAATGGTTTTTCACAAATAATAATCCACAATTAGGAAGCGTCTCATTCATACACGCGGCTAGTGCATAGCATCTGCGATTGCATAGAATGTTTCCAGTGCTGAATTTGTAACTAACCTAATCTTTTGCAAGTTTGATTTATTACCATTTGATATCCAGATTGCTTGCTGTTTGATTTACTGCACTGTATTTGGTATGCAAAGTTTCGTGGACCTTCTTAGAGTCCATGCCTTCCAGCCAGTCCTGGTACATCTTCTGGACATGCACATTGGTTTCTGGAAGCCTAACAGGTATTGCAGCATACACTTCTTCCATCTGGTTAAGCAGTGCTTTGTCTGGTTTTCCATCTTCACTTTGTGTCTGACCTTTTCCATTTAGGCACCCTTAGGAGGAAGAAAGAAAAAAAAAAATCCACAAGGGTGATGGAGATTTGGTATGAAGAGAAAGCTTGTATTAACTTGGAATTTTTTCATACTTCTCTAAGGAAAAAAGTGGTCTCTGGACATAAACTACGCCCCATGCTGTTAGAATTTGTATTTACTTAAAGTTACTCCAATACCAACATCTTAATGTAAATGAGGTTTCTGTATTAATCTTTCTCTGCCTTCTCCATTGTCTCTCTTAATTAAGTTTCTTGTCTTTTCTTGCCCTTGACAACCACCATTTCAGAGTATTTCCTCTGAGATTTGAAATAATCATAAGAGCCATGCTGTCGCTTATTTATAGGTCAGAGGAAAACAAGTAACACTGGTTAATTTTAGAAAATCCAATCAATTTCTGAGCCAACCCTGCACATGTAATTGGTGTTCTAGACCATTAAGCATTTTAGATTACTAAGAAGAGAATTAAGAGCAAATGAAGTTAAGTGCCTGCCTGTACAACAGCTTCCCTTTGAGATTCAAGGTGTGTGTGTGGAACAACTGTAGATCCACAATTACTCTTACCTCCTGGGCAGGCAAGGACTTCTACAAAATGGTATAAAAACTTTCCTTTTTTCAACTTCAGAACCATGTTTTGGATATTTCTAAAGCCATAAGCTGCTGCAAAACGTAGCACTGTCTCACCATCCTTTTCAAGGGTAACTTCTTGGAAGTCCTTGTTCCTGTAAAGATACCCAGAGAACATCTGAAGAGCCAGCATTACCAAAGGATGATCCAGCTGTCTCGGTTTGTGTTCTGTTCTCTTCAGAGCATCTGAGTAAGTGTAACACTGAGATTAAGGCGAACTCTTAACAGTTTCTGAACTGAGTTACACAGAAGTTGAAGTGGAATTTTTAGAACAGAATTATGTTTAACTTTTAATGGTAGGTAAGCTATTAATAAAATTAAAGCTAGCAGTAACTATGTCACAGCAATAAATTAACCGGTTTATAACATGTAACTGCCTATCAGCAAACGAGCCAGCTAACCAATAACTACATTAGGGTTCACTGTAGCACCAAGTAAGCCAGAGGAGCTTCAGACAGGACATTAGGAACCACTTCTTTACCAAGAGGGTGGTCAAACACTGGAACAGGCTTCCTAGAGAGGTGGTCAATGCCCCAAGCCTGTCAATGTTTAAGAGGCATTTGGACAATGCCCTTAATAACATTTTTTAACTTCTGGTCAGCAGTGAAGTGGTCAGGCTGTTGGACTAGATGATCATTGTAGGTCCCTTCCAACTGAAATTATCCTGTTCTATTCTAACTAGCCCATCATACATAACAAGGATACAAAACTCTGACTTACTTTAATGCTTTATACGTGATTTCTTTGACATCCATGCCAAAAAGCTCCTTTGCAGCATGTTTAAAAATGTGCTCCAGGTAACCATCAGATCTCTTGCCATCATGCCTTACTACCTCTCCCTCCTTTATATCATCAAACCTTAGAAAGCAATAGAAAGAAAGATCAATTCAAAGATTTCATTCCTTCACTTCAAAAAAAGTTTTTCCCCTTCTCTGTATCCTCCCTGCCCCTAAAGGTTTTATAGCCACAAGTGAGAACATATTAACATTTTTATTTATTACAACTTAAAAAAATTTAAACTATTTAGGACAGCAGTAAGCTGGTAGAAAAGAAAAAAAAATAAAAGGATGCAGGGATTTCCTCTTCAGAAACCTTGGGCAACAGTAATTTATAAGAATACACATTTGGCACAGCCTCAGACTTGGTTAATAGCTCTTCACTACTTAGGAGACATTTTTTTAGGGAAAAAATAAAATTGTTTTTAGCCTGCTGGAATATAAAAGTACTTCATCAGTACATGTCTTTGCTCACAGACAACTCTCCTGCTCCAGGAATTGTCTGTCACAGTTTATAACACTGCCACTAAAATAACACCAAATCAGTGCAGTTTCACCAGGCTAAAACACTGCCTCTGTAAGAGAAGTGCTACACTATAGCTCAGGAAAGAAAAATCAGTGAGATGATATCCAATAGGCATAGCATTTGCCTAGAGGTTCACCCATGTCTCAATTAAAAACGGAGCACGGTAGTATGAACTATGCTGGGATGTGTGCTGGCTATCGCCAGGCAGCAGCTCTGCAGGGTCACATTCCTTTCTGGCAAAGCAGAAATTGACTGGGGTGAGTGGTAATGCTAGTTTCAGGAAGAGATATTCGTCTTCATATTAGTGAATGGACAGATTACGTCCTTTGCGCTTACCTGTATAAGCTTCTCTAGATACAGTCTAAGTACATTCTTCCCAGAACAGCCAGACATGACCTTTCCTGGCCTGTGCTGCAGGCTCTTGCCTAAGCAGCAGTCTGAGCACAGCATTCACCCACAAAACCAAAGTGAAAATTATCACAGCAAACACCTTAGTAACAAAAAATGCTGAAGTTGTAATCATGACAGGGAAATATTTTAATCACTAAAGAGCTTAAGTTTAAAAATTTGTATGTCTGTCCCCTCTATGCCATGCGATCACATTTACTGAAGACCTACTGCAACTTTTTTTTTTTAAATAACCATGGGTGGTTTTGTTTCATGGTAATGTCTCCTAATAGCCAGTTAGTATTTGTTAGCATTCTCTAGCTACAGAAGTGAGTTGAGAACTCAAACACGAGTTACTTTGTTCACATGACCCTTAATACCAAGCACTTAATCACAAATTGCTGCTGTGCTTGAACTTGTCTTAAGAGGAAGAATTCAATTTATATAAATTTCTCTGCAAAATCCACTTTTAAGACCCCAGAAGAACAAAAATTTTTGTTATCAGGTCTCAGAGCTTGAACCAGTATTATCAGATTAGTAGTTTAAAAAATTAACATTATTTTCCAACAAAAACCGATCCGATAAAAGAGGTATATTCTGAGTAAGAGCTTGTGATGTCATTGCACAGGCTGATTAAGAAATAAATTACCATCTCCACATGATCATGTCTGTAATAACTTTATTTATGTAATTCTCATTCTGCATAGCAATCTCTGGTAGAATTAATCATAGGAAGTACACTATAAACACAGCTCTGAAACTGTTACCACTGTGTCACCTAAATCTCTCTAGCCTAGGTGAGGTCCAAGCTGGATACTAACAAAGTAAAAAGGATTTTAAAAAAATTCTAAAGCTTTCTGTTTTGTGCAAGAAAGCATGTTTATTGCTCCACTACCACCACTTTGGAAAGATACCAAGTAACATCTGTCACACTTGAACAAAGATCAGCAAGGATTAAGACCAGCCTTTGTAACCCAGCCTGAGAATTAAAACAACACGCATGCTGCTGTCTGAGCCAGTCATACAGGGAGTAAACAAAATCTCTTCAATGCTTTGTGTGATTTTCATCTAGTACACTTCATTCAAAGCATCTTTTAATTTCACCTAATCTTGAAAACTGCTCTGTCCAGGTTAAAAAATAATTAATATCCTGAAAGGGTGCTACTTTATCAATTCTACATGCACATATTAGGGGAAGTGGAAATTTACTGTCAAGATGCTGCTCTGAATGAGAGGAAAGCACAGAACAGATGGTCAACCCCTGATTGCATCCCAGCATCTTTGTGTGAGGCCAGACAGTCGGAGGGAAGCAGATGAGACGGTTCAGCTTTGTGCAAGCTCAACCGTAGGAGAGCTCTGAATGGGTCAGCACCTTGGGACAGTCACACTTGCTAGCAAGTCCTGAACTTGATATAGTCAAATCTACTATTACTGCATTAAAATATAAATGAGGAGCTACACAAATCTTCAAAAATCATAAACTTTAAAGGAGTCACTAGATAGGGGTCATTACCACAAATTATCTGCTTTGTATTTAAACAGGATATACAGTTTTATAGTATCTGTTTTGTATTTCTTATATATATATAGCAATAAACATCTGAGAGACTACTTTAGGGGGTTTTGACCGCTATATAAAGCATGAGGCTTTAGTATAATCAGACTTTGATGCAGATTTTTTTTCTTTAAAAACATTTCTTGGAGAAGTTTTACATTTATGTTGAATATGCTAAAAGGTATTGTCATTTGTCATGTAATTAAGGAAGCAATCCACAACAAAACTACTTACAAACTATCTACAGCTACTTCAGTCACATCTTTCATAGACAGATTTTTCTGTTCCATTATTTGTACAATTTCACCTGTAGAAAAACATAGGACATTTTACTTTCAACACAAAGCAAAATGTACATGCTGTGCCTGTTTAAGAGATCACTATCCCAACATCTTTATGTGCTTACAGTCATTCTCCAGTTCTTATTAGAGTCAGTTTCCTCCAGTAACCGAGAAGCCTGACACTTCCAGCCCCCAAAAAAAGGGCCCTGAGCTTGCTCCAGACTTTGCATAATGCTATCCTTAGCCTGTCAGGTGAAGTTTCAAAGCTGTTTCTACACAGCAGGGGAAAAGGGAGTTTGGACATTAAGCCTAAGGACAAGAGCCACACGAAAAAGCCACTGGTGCCATACATTTGCAATGTTATGAATGATCCCAGTGGAGATTAATTTATGGCCATAGACAAAGAAGACAGTGATTTTTAATATTCATTTGTGCAACTCTCATCTTTCTCAAGAGACTGACAAAAACAAGTATTTGAATCTTGTTTTCAGATGAATACCAACTTAGAAGGGAAGTATTTTTCCCTTTGCCTTCCCTGTACTATACGACCAGTAGCACAAAATCCTGTACCCATTTTTAAAGCAGAAAAAAAAAGCCAACCTTACAAATAAACCAGACTTTAAAAAAGCAAAGTACGGCATAAAGGCTACTCTAACAATGGCAATTCACTTATATCTTTATAAATAGTAAGATTAAATAAGATTTAACCTGATGTCAGAACACAATCAACCTCTTGCGAATTATACAAGGCAGTGTAGAAGTCTTCCCGCAAGGCTTCCAGTTTTTTGTCGTAACAAGGTGCCACAATTATGTGGAAAATTTTATCAGGAGACAAGTTCTGTGGAACACAGAAGAGAGCACATGTGAACTCCATGAAGAGTAAAAGAAAGCTTCAAGGATGATAAGAACAAAAACAGCATCATAAACTCTATGCAGGTAATACTAGTAATCAATCTCTAGCAATTAAATTTAAAGACTGACACACACAGATAAAGTGATTTGCCAGAAGTCACAAAGCATCAGCAACAAACATCCAAAGTCAGTCTTCTGGCTGAAACTTATTTCTTCAGACCACAATTTCTGCAGCTTTTGATTGCCTTAGAAAGTGCATGCAAGTCAGGGCATCAGAATTGTGTTTTCTAGCTGTCACTCATTCACCTTCAGACTCCTCAAGTCCATCAGTATTTCTCTACATGGAGACAGCAATACTTTCCTGTATAACGTGGATGCAGTTAAATTTAAGTACGATACATAAAATGGGTATTAACTTTATTCAACATAGAAAACTCTGAAGATAAAAAGGTTTCTAGGATAGAGTGCTTTTACTGATCCCAGACAACAGGGCAATTTCTACATTATTCTCCTCTGCTCCTGTTTTGGCTGTGCTACAGAACTACACAGGCAGCATTTAACAAGAATCTCTTTAGCTACCCTGAATTTAATTTTATACATCAATATCTAAATCCATGTTGCACTGGGAGTGCAAGGATTGCTGCCGCCTCACACTGCACTGCGTGAAATGAGGTTCTTTGTACATTCTTCTTATCATGGGCACTTGTATAGCAGCAGAGCACCACTTATTCTTCAAGTCAAGAACAAACAATTCAAGAAGATGCTTTATCACTTTATAATACACTAAGACATATTTCAGTATCAAAACCTACTAACCCACCTGTTTAGAAGATTATAAAGGTAAAAGTTAATCAGAATTACTTACCTGCTGCCTGGCAAAGTAGCCCTTCACCAGGGAGCCCATGATCTGCTGTGGAGACTTTGCAGTGCAAATGTGAGAGGTCACAAGATTGGTAAGTACCCTTTCCGCATACCGGATCCAACCTAGAACGACAGAAAATCAGTTGGACAGCGCAGTGGCACATCAGGATGGCAAAGTGACAGCAGTTACAGAACAGCTCTGAAAAATTAAGATCCCTTCACAGTATGTAAGACATTTCTGTGTAGACTGAAAGTCCCCACCTTGGGAACTGCAGGAAAGCTCAAGGCTCTGTTAATAATGCTTTACAGTTGGCTATCAATAATTCACTGTATCATTAATTCTAGACCTAGAAGCCACAGTGAATGTCAGGACCTATTACACCTTTCCTAATGCACAGATTTAACAGAGCAGAAAAAACAGGATCACAGCTAACAAAGAGTAAGCTGACTTTCCAGACTCCTGGATCACCAGATACTACTACAAGTATACTCTGTTCAGCTGCTTAACTGTAACCTCCTGTTTCCTGAGATTTAATATCCATGCACCCAGCTTGCCTCCTCTGCAACAGAAGAGTCACATGAAAGCATTATCACAAGATGCACATGGATTAAGCCTGGAAAAAAAAAAGGCTTCTTTTACTATTGTTCGAGTAGCCACACCTTCTTTAGAAACACACACACACACACACAGTCATCAACTGAAATCTCTCCGTATTTTACATTCTTACTCAAGAGTTCACCTCCCAATATCCAGAGCAGTTCTATTATTCCCCGCTTTCTAGAACAGGAACTGACAAATGAGCAGATATTTAGGGTGTGCAGTTCTTTCTTAGGCACTGTAACTCTTACTGAAAACAACAGCCCAGCATCTTTCGCCACAAGGATTCAGAACTTGTTTCTTCATCTACGTGAACTGAGAATCAGATACCCAAGTTGTGCAGAAGTGCTAGACCCAGCCTTCTAAGGAAGTGTGTTGCTTTTAGTGCTAAGAAACAGTGAAAAAGCATTACGCTTAAGTCTTTTAACTTCAAACAGATCAGTGTTTACATAAAAGAGAAAAATTGCTGTTAAGTACAGGCTGCCTAGGAGAGGAAAAATGTGTAGGTTAATTCTTAAGCTTGAAATAAAAATGTTACCAGGTGTTTATTGGTATGTGTAAGTCAGACCACTGCCACAAAGGCCAACAACAGCACAGAACTAGAAGGTGGTGTTCAGACAGTTTGCCTCTCGATGGCAGAGAAGTGGTTTTCCCAGTGTAATAACATAATACTGATGAAGATGAGAAAGTGTACGTACTAGGGAAACATGAGGATCCTCCAGCTGTTTAATATCCCCAATTCTTGTTTAACTACAGACCTCAAGATTGACAGACACTGGACTCCATGGAAAAATCTCAAGACATACATCATCTTCAACAAGCACTCATTTCTGTTGTAGAAAAAGCTAGGGACAATAGATTTACATGTCAGGACTGCGCTGAATTGCCAGATTCTGAATAGGAAGTTTGCTAATGTCCAGCTTCAACTGAGACTTTAAGTCTGAGATATGACCTGCAACAAAGGACTTAATTTCTTGGTGCTTGGTACAAAGGTTGTATTAGCATAATCTGTATAAGTATATCCTATTTCTTAAATGGCTTTAGTCTCAAGTGCCATCAAATAGAACAAAAACCGCTTCAAAGAAAGAAAGGACAGTTTTTAAGAACATTCTGCCTCATACTTTAGCAATATTTCTGGAAAGTCCTTCTCTTATACTGCAACTACGATTACCATTAATCACCACAGTACTCCTGCTAGGAGGCTAGTTTTCAGAACTAGAGTGTTTTAGATATTGTAGTCACAAACTGCAAGGAAATCTCACTAAATCCCAAGAGGCTTCTGGCAGATATTGCCCAAAGCAACTCCTCAAATTGTTTCTGTCCTGGCAGCAGACAGAACAAGTGTCTAGGAGTTCCAGCTCCACAGTGACCATCAGTCATTGTTTAATTATAAAAGTAGCCTTGGTGAAATGAGCAACACAAGGCATTTGTCTGCACTTGTTTCCACCCACTCACTCATCAACAGGGCTGAATTCCAGAGCCACAGCTACAGAAAGTCTGAGATACCCAGTTCTTACATCAGTGTACACTTGTACCCACACAAACCTATACCCTTCACAAATTCATTCAGGTTCTTGGCCAATTGTTGGCTTGTGGTAGCATCAGAGACCAAGAAGAAACCCCTGCGAATCACTGTATAAATTCTTACACATGTACTTCAGAACATATTATTTTTAATGGTTCACCAGGAGCGGATCACAAAGATGCACACTATAAATATCTGTGCATCAGTATTAAGTGCAGAGAAACTAAGAAAACTTGCACTACTCTAAAACCTCATTCCTGCAAAAGGAAATTAGTTTAGCTGACTGGGGCAATAGCACTTGAATCCTCAGTAGTTATGCTCTTCCTGTTTATGCAGCTGACCTGTTCTAGGAGTTTGCAGAGGTTGGCAATGCATTAAAAATGCTGACTAATTCTCAGAGCACGTGCTTCACGTTGCTTAGCAGTTTGGTAAATTAAGGAAGAGAACTGATGATTTCTGCAATATTACATACACAATCAGTAGTTACACTTGTACTTTCAACAGGAAACAAACAGACAAACCAACAAACCAACCCAAAATTATCTCTCTTAAGAGAGCAGCAGCAGGAGATAAGAACAATTAAGACAGAAAATAAAATGCCCTTTTATCAAGTTCTGGGACTACATAGGCTATGCTTTTTTGCTCATGGTAGATTCTACACCACAGACCACTCCTGCAGAGGGTGGTATTTCTGTGGAAAGTTACACCCAAAGATCAAGAAAAAAAAATAGTAAAGCAGTAACACTTGAGTTCACATTGACCTTGTATCTACAGAGCTACATAAAAAACATTTTCTGATAAACACATCCAGTAGACAGCATTTCTGGGGCAAGCTTATGTCATCTAGGGGTAGAGAGAGGAAGGGGAATGAGGAACAGAAAATGCACCCAGACAATTAAAAAACTCAGGAAACAGAGCAAACAACCTTACTTCAAAGATGACTGATGATTTTGCTTTCTGTCATTGCTGTCAGTGGCAATGAAATACCATATGGTTTCAGAATGGGATTACAGTGATATTTCAGTTCGGTTTTCCAAAAATGGAAAGCACCCATGCTTCTGCTAACAACTATACCACAGCAGATAGCTGACACCATAACTAGCAACAAAAACAGAAACAGTCTTTTGTAGAGCAGACAGGACAAGAAAAGTGCTCCATTAACTATTTTTAAATATTTCCAATGAAAGCAGCAGATAATCTGAGCTCTGTTTCTAGATGAAGAAAAATTAAAATTATCTCAGAAGTTCTAAAATAAATCCTCAGGTTTTGAATTTTAAATAAGCCATGTACAACAAGACAAACCTAAGTAATAAGGGATTATTTCAGTTTCACAGGTTTTACATGAAATGACCCACATCAGTATGTCTGCTTCTGAAGATAGGAGGCAATACTAAGATAACAGGAACAGGATAAGTCACTTATTCTCTCTCTCTTTGTCTCTCTCTATATATGTAGTTCCCAAAGTGTAACCCAGATACTTCCACTACAGAATACACAGACCAAACAGAAGTACAATTACCATTCAAACGGCAGTATTTAGACTTTAAATCAATGGCAACAGCAGATTCTGAGGATCACAAAACACATACTTTTAACTCGCTCTCTTGTAACATTTCTTTAAAGAATGCAATCCACTTAAGTTATTACAAAGCTAAAAAGAAGTATTTCTGTATTTTTGTTGGCCTTTTGAAAAGCAACACCACGAACTTACTAGGAAGGAGTTGGGTTGGAGTTACTTATACCCCCTTTTTGATACTTGGTTACAAATGTGAATTATCATAATTAAACTGAAACGATGGTGTCCTAACAAATGGGAAAAGTAAACAATGACTAACTTTCTACATCTTTTCAGTTGGGATAAGTACAGGTTCTGTTCATAACAAACAAGTTCTCAGGTGCAAAATTCTCAGAACTGAGACATTTAGTGAGTTAAGTCTGTGACGTTTTGAGTGGGAATTATAAATGTTAGACAACATCTCACACTCATTAAGAGTAATGTCACTTGCTACTGTCCTCTAGGCTTAAGTGGCAAGTTCAAAACTTTGCTTAAGATAACAGAGGTTGTGGTTTATTTATTTTAATTTGCAAAGTTCCTTAAAGATTCTTTTCAATAAGGAAACACCATGTTAAACTTTGTGGTGCAGACACACAACGAGCAGCCACTAACTCCTGAGTTCCAGTTCTGACTCATTTATCCTAAAGTCTTACACAAAGCACAAAAAACCTCAGTGCTTCTGTACCTCGGTTTCATTACCCAGAGATTCGTATGTAATATATGCTGCTTTTATAGAAGTGATGATAAATATAACTGACTAATAAATACCACTTATAAACACTAGCACAGGAAATCAGTAGTTCAGGTTCTTTGCATTATCGAAGGCTGTGGACTACAGCAAAGTGGTTGGTTTCTTTGAAAAGAATTTACACTCCTCACCTTTTACAGAGCTCCAACAGAAGACAACTGTAAGATGCAGATAGGGAATTTATTGCAACCTTTGTATCTGACTGCGTAAGGCCGTGCACTGAATTAGCATACACCTTATCCAGCACAATCGCACCTGTTCCTTGTCTGCATGGTTCACATTTATGGCTGTGGCACCTCACTTAGACATGGGAAAGCTGGTGATGCTTGATGGAAACAAATTCTGCTCTCCCAACAGCCTGTGAGGAACAGGCCCATCTAGCAGTGCACTGCAACACACTAAGGATGATCAGAGGTACTGGTAACAAGTACTGTGTGCAGTATCGGTGTATCTCACCCAAAATACTCTAAGTTATATAAGGCTCCCAAATGAAACTGCCCTTTCCTTAGTTCTTTGGTACTTCCAGTGAGACGAGGCTGCAGTGCAGGAAGGTTGGAGAAATCAGTTCTCACCAGGGCAAGCAGAGGCAAACATTGGTAAGGCATGCTCCTCCTGGTTCCTCCGTTGATACCGCTGCACAAATTCCCTCTGGCTCTCCAGGATACTGAAATCAGCAGCTATAGTGGTGTCAAATACATAATGCACCCCTATGAAAGAAAGCAGTAAAGAAAAGTGAATTACTGGAATGTTTTCCATCTCGCTGGCTTCTTTTCAGGTTGCAGGTCTATGGAAAATCTTAGAAGGTCAACGGATATAATCTTTCCCCTCTCCAAATTTTCGCAAACAGTAGAGTCAAAAATAAAAGCCATACATTGAAAAGCTATCTTCTATGTCATAAATTTAAAAGGATCACCAACTTGCTAACGCTGACTGCCAACACTTCAAATAGTTGTCGGCTTCCTCAGGAGAAGCTTGCCAATCAACCTATGTTTGCTTTTTGTTTAACTGAACAGGATCTCATGACTCCTGAAATATGCAATGACTCTTGACAAGGAGCATTTTTTTTCACAACATGCTAAAGTCACATATCATTATCGATAAGAAATATGTCCAGCTAAGAGGCTGAATTTGGCTGTAAAGGTACAGAAGCATATCACCAACACAGCACAGACCTGCTGCCTGCCTGCTGAGCAACACACTCCCTACACACCTACGTAATATTGGGCACGTCCCTGCAGCAAGGGACGCATAGATAATTAACACATTCTAAGAAAACTGGGGCCCACCAGAACTTAGCATTCCTTTTAGATTAATACAGTCAATACAGAAATGCATAAAAATTATGAAAACAGTTATATATATACGGAGGGAAACAATTTGTAGGTTTATTACTGTCCTTTTTCTTCCTCCCTCAAGTACATAACCCCCCCCCAGATGTAAAGTGCTGGGTTGTCTTTAAATAAAATTTATATATATAGTATGAAGAGCAAAGGCAATACAGCTTTAACATAAAATAGGCAGATACAACAGTTCTTGCATATCATTTCAAATTACAGGAAAAAAAAAACCCTGAACTGAGAATCTTTTAGGGATACGATGTGTCAAAAGGACTGAAAGGCATTTAGGAAAATAATTTCTTCCTCCCTCAAGTTACAGAATAAGGGGAAATGTTATTGAAGCTCATGACCAAATCCAAACTGCCTTCTTGGTAGTGAAGGTTTTGAAGATAGCTCTATAATGGCGTTCTATTCTGTGACCTTTACTGTCAACAGGATCATGTCTCAAACCCATTTCTGAAACTGGTGTATGTCACACTGGTGCCCCATCATTAATAGCACAGAGTGCATATTTCAAACTCTAAACTACATTGTGCAATGGTACTTTATGACTGCAAAACAAAATTCTACTGAGGAAGCAAAAACCTAAAATCATCTCCTCTTTCTGCTCCACCATCATAACAAACCCAAACTTACCAAGACTTTTGAGGAAACCACAGAGTCTCTTGGCTGCATCATTCACAGAGAGATTGAATTTAGCAGCAAAATAAGGCAATGACTGAGGGCATACAGATACTGCCAACACTTTGTGTTTTGAGGTATCACATTTCTGGTAAACAAAACAAAAACAAAGAAAACAAGGCATGTAATTACAACAGGGTAAGGTCCCCTACTTTCCTTTCCTTTTCCACTCCTGGAGTTATTCCTCAATGTCCCACGTTTCAATGGGCCATATCATTAAAACTCCTAGGAAACAACTACCAAGCTTCCTGAAGGCAGGACAGGCAGTTCCTCTGATCCTGTCAGCCCTCATCGCTAATCATCTGTAGATACTTCTCTTACATAACTCAGGGAAATTCATCCCTCCCAGGATAATTCTGTGCTTGGTCTCTTCAAGGCATAAGAAAAGTTAAGAGACATTCAATATGAAGCTCCATATTGCTCCAGCAATATGAAACATCAAAGCAAATGCAAAAAAAGCTGTATGTTTAAACACTAATAAACAGATACACTGTTTACAGAAGCATTTGAAGTTACAACCCAGCAAATTCCAGACCTGAACCTCTGTAAGGCTCCTGTGCCTCTATCATTGAACCTGTTGAGGGAAACTAGCAAGAGAAGACCCTCAACAAATCTGTGTCTGTAGGCACTGAAGAACCCTTTGAAAATACCCAAGGTGGTGTGCAATTGTAAAAATCCAATGACTGAGACATTTATTTGAAGATAAATCTTGTGTTTAGTAGAGATGCTTTCCATGCCAGTGGAACCTATGGAAGACAAACTTAGACTATGCCACAGGCAAGTCTCACTCTGAAAAGGTTAGAGACCACACACCCTACTTGGACACCCTCAGTGATGTACAATGACTCTTCGAGTAGAGCTAACTGACTGCCTCTCTTGCTCACTGTCCTCTTTTGGACTCCTGAAGTTCTGATCATGGTATCTGGCTGCTTCCCTGTCGCAGACTTGAGGCTCTCTTGATACGACCCAGGTGATCCAAAAGATTTCCCCCTCACCTTTTATTCTCTTTTTCTCATGTACAACATCATCATACTGTATGGAGAGTTAAACTATGTAATGAAACCTCTTATTTATGACATTTATGTACAAATTAAGAAAAAGCATCAATTCTGGTAGCTTTAGCATACCAAGTAAGGACACACAAGTCTGGAACAGAACTAAAATAATTAATTCAGTATCAACATCTAAAGATCTGAGCACCATATATAGCACCTAGCTTCCTGGAAATCCAGACCTCAACAGAAAATAAGACAGCAATAGAACATATTTGTGAGTTTTCTTGAGAACTTAAGACAAAAATTCTGTTCAATTATAGTCAGCTTGAATATACATTAAAAACAATTTTACTTTCAAAAACATGCCTTGGTAACGTCGTATTATGTGGATACAGTGGCACCAAAACCATCCGGAACAGTCCTAGTAATGAAGGTATGAGTACTGAGCCACAGACCCATTTGTTATTACAGTAATGAGGTAGTTATGTTTTCCAAAAACTTTACTTCTGCAGGTGCAGCAGCTTTTCTCCAGCATTTAAAAGTGCCATGATCCTGCATCTCTAGTGTAAAATTACTTTAAGTAATGTTCATCTTGCCTGAAGTTTTCACTTCCTCTTTGGACAAATTATATCTTGACAAATCTTCACATTATCTGCCATGGGAAACCCAGATGCTTAGTCATTCTGTAATTTCCTCCTCACAGAAATCAGTGTGTTATTGTTTGTGTCACTTTACCTTATTAAGGTTAAGAATACGAAAGAGCTCCTTCTGATTCTGCTGGAAAACTCTGGCTCCTTCTTCTGATGTCATACAGTTGTCACAAGCTAGGCAGTCGCTAAGGAGTATTTTAGCATTAGCCAATGTATGAAATTCATTTTTCTGGAGGGGGAAAAAAGATAACACTTAATAATGACTGACCAATTCTCAAGACCTCTGCAATGGTCCAGCTGAAAAGCAAACATGCTCCCACTGTTTGCTTTAAGAGAAGACAAACCAGGACATCAGCATAACATCCAAAATTATTTAGAAGGAATCAAAATCATTTGTTCCACCCTTCTTAAATGGCTCTGCTCCTATTATTACTGTGAAACTGCAAAATGTTTACATGTAAACACACATCTAAATTTAGGCCTGTAGTCCATGTTCTAGTAACTTGATTTGCATCACGTTTCAGAGCTGACGGTCCCCATCAACTTATCAAGTCACTGAGAAAACTTTTACTTGAACTATTAAACCTCTTTAATAACCAGATGCCTAACAGCAAGATGGCTTTGGCTTTTTACCATGAGGTACAACAAACAGAACACAGTCCTACAAGTACATTGACCATAGATCAAGAGCGTCACACTTCTGGCTGCAATATGGTTGGCAGCTCATCTGTGGGAAGAAGGAACACTTGGACAGAAGTGCAACAAAACCAGTTCACTTGCAAAAAAAATAAACAGAAATCCCCCAATTAAGAACCCAT